TCCATATGTATGATCTAGATCAGCCTTACCCAACCTTGTGCTTTCCAGACACATTTGGTCTGCAACACCAGAATTCTGTTTTAGGGAGCTGATTCCAGTGTTGGGGTAATTGCTGGAGTTGGAGTTCTGCTAGCATTTGTGGACTTCCTTTTGGTTCCCACCAAAAGGAAGGGCTGAACAAGGGAGGAAGTCCGACAAAGAGAAGAGAGCCGGATCCACAAAGTATTGTTGCAACTCCACCTATAAGTTTTTATTTACAAGCAGGCATGCCAGGGCTATGAAGTGGCTCTTTTTCATATAGTTATGAGTTGCTTTCATTGCCCCTTCCTAAGATTGGGTTTATTTAAATATGTGCTTGAGATTCTCTTCAACCACTCAGGAATCTGCTAGAGCAAGACTCTAGAATGTTAAGTTTCTGTCGGATTTCCACCCTGGAATCTAGTTCTAAACTATAAGTTTGTAAAGAATTACCCTTCTGGGACTTAGCTCCCTTTGATGGGCCCTTCTTTTGACTTCAACTGATAGTATGTGTTTAAAATGTTTACCTGCATAATTTAATAGATCATAAGCAAATAGCAGAAGATATTGCCAAAGCAACCAGAAGCTGATGAGATTGCATTCTGCTTACTGTCTACAACATGTTAAAACCTCATTAAGTAATGCTCAAATTAAACTTCAGGCCAGAAATTCCACATGGAGCAAAGCTTTTTAAGCCAATGACTGGTGAATTTAAAGTATGTGTTGAACAGGTCACATCAAATACAGTAATGCTGTGTAGTACAGTGGACTTTGGGGAAGGCTGAAGCACAGAACATTCATTGCAGCCATGCACTTAGTAAATAAATAAATGTTTATTTATAAACAGAGAATAAATGTTTGTTAACAGCCTTGGGGGGCCTCTGGCTTAGTCAGGTTGCCATTACAAAAGAAGCAAGAGGAATTGCATAGAATAAATGCTGCTTATTGCTGAAATTTTGCAAAAGGACCAGGGAGACTTTGGGAGGAATAGAGAGAAAAGCTGAAGCACTTGGGTTGGGGGAAGAGGTTGGACAGGGGGAATATGGAAACAGTTACTGGAACAATGTGTAGGGAAGTTATGGCAGACTGAGGCTTTGGGGAAAAGCCACTGAGAAAGAAGAGGCGATGAATACTGATTTAGTTTTGAGAGCAGAGAAGTAAATGACTGGGAAGGAACACAGTCTGTGTAGTGTTTGGCTCTCGGCCATATGGAAATTGTGGTAAGAGGCTCTTAGGCTTAGGAACTTTAGCCAATCCTGTTATAGATTTTTACTAGCAAAAGATTTGTTGTTTTTAAACTTCCACAGGCAACTTCACTGGCATATCTCTTCACTGAATACCTCTGAGGGATATTACTGTAATGGAAAGGAAATATTTCATGCTCACTGTGAATTATTTCCTTGGTGGCACAAGCCACAGCATGAGTGAAGGAGGAACGCTTCAAGCTCCAGGCTGTTGAAAACACAAATAGCAATGGCCAAGGTGGTGGGGGTGGGGAGTCGTTGATTCTTGGGCAATTGCAAAGCTCAGGATAGTCCCTGAATTTACTGAACGACCCATGGCAGCTTGCTCTGCATGCATGGACTTACTAAGGAATGAATGAAAATAGTGCAGAATATCCTACAGAAGCACATTCCACCATGTAGAGGATGCAGACAGGAACAGAGCAAAGGAGGGTGAAACATATGTAACTTATCAAACTGACAGCAAAATTTCATACAAATGCACCACTTCGTATCAAAGCAAATGAAGCGGCTGCATATAGTAAACTGATATCACCCCACAGTATGCAAGCATGAACTCATGACAAAGTACCATTTGTAGTTGTTTCATCTGCCATTTCACAAATCATCCTGTTATTGGCTCTTTACCATGTACCACCATCCATATTGATAGGGCTGGCTGCATCCAGACTAAGTTAGTCACCCTTGAGTCCTATTCCAATCAATGCAAAAAGTTAACCATAGCCGGCTGAAATCTCATTAATTCAGGGAGAACTAAGTGTGACTAACTTAGATCGCCTATACCGGGGTGCTCTGATTGCTGAGGCAGCGCAGTGTCAGCTTTTTTCTTACACAATCACTGCTCTGTGGTTGCACGCTAATGAATACAGCACAGCACCCACTGTGCTTGTGATGCTGTCAGGTGCCACCTACCACAATGCAGTAATTGAAAGGCCAAATATATTTTATTGTTAGTGTTGTTTCTAGTGCAAGCGCATGCCGCAAGGGGTACAATAGCAGGAGAAGTAAAAAAAAATCATCCTGCCATTTCAGTTTCCATATTCAAAAGTCAAGGAAATGTGCTCTTGCACAGCTCTGCAGGGGTGCTGCTTTGGAAATAAAGAGCTTGCACATCCTTCAAAGCTTCATTGAAAATTAATCTTTAAAAAATGGCTGACCATTCCCCCTGTGATCGAAGGAGAGGTAATGGAGGGCGACCACAAATTTCCTGGCATTTTCCTCTGCCCAAAGGCAAAGGTGAAAGTGTGTGTGGGGAAGAGGGCATTATTGTGAAACAGGTTCTATAGCTTTTAAAGTTACTTGCACTGGTAAGAGTTATAATACAGATACATTAAAATGCACGCAACTCAATGGCACACAAAAACTGCAATCACTGAAAGAAGTAATAAAAGTGGAAAACTGAAAAAATGGAATACTGAGAGAGAAGCAGCCAAGCACGTCAGTGCCAACAAAAGATTCAAGTGCTGACTGGCCTTAGTTTGGGTCCAATCCAATATCTTTTACTTGATGGCAAGGTGATGTCAAATATATCCTGGATCTTCATTTTAGGAGGTTACACTTCTGTTGCACTTGTATCTATACCTTTTATTCCTGAGTCTATTTCTATTAAATACCTCTGTTTCGGTGAACTTCGCAGACTGAGGTCATACCTTTTATTACTGAAGATGGGCTTTATTTCATAGAACTTCTTGTGCAAGCCAAACTGCTCCAGCCCTTTTGCTTATCAATGGGTCTTTTTTGTTCTTCTGGTAACTGTAGCTTTGTTGCATGTTTCAATCTTTGGTACTGTAACACATTCCTTGGAAAACAATCTCTGTTTTATTTCAATGCACACAATAGCTGAACTTGCCTGGCAGTTTACCATAATTCATAAATACAATAAAAGACAGTATAAAATATGAATAGCAATAAAAGCATCTTAAAATTTCACTACAGAAGATTAAAAGCCTGAATGTAAGCAACCAAAATGACTAAGATCAGTTAATTCCACTAAGCCTGTTAAAACAACAACAACAACTGATGTGACACCTTGCCCCCATATGCTGTTTGGAGCAGTTAAATGCCTTGGCTCAGAAGGAAGCCTTAGCCAGGGAGCTTTGTCTGTGGAGCAGCATAACACTGAACAGGGACTAAATGATAAACAGGGACTAAAAAAATCAGTTGAATTGGATCTCGGTAGACCTCAGTGGGATATCATTGCTTACTTGGGAGGCTACTACAAGAAGCCCTCTTCTTTGTTACTATGAAATGAACCTTTCTTATTGGTGGCACTCAGAAGAAGGCCTCTTGTCAGAAGGAAGAAGAGGAAAATACATCAAAGAAAGAAGAAGAGGGCAAGGGTAACCCTAGCCAGGGGTTGACATTGAAGTTGAGGCTTCAAACAGTAGATTCTCATTAGAAAAGCAGCTTGGGTCCTCCTGGGCAGTTTTTGGACTTCCCCAGGGCAGGAGGCAGAGAGGGAGGGAAGTCATCCTGTGGACAGGCGAAGGAGTGTGAACAGACCACAGAAGTCCAAAGAACATGCAGCTTCCCTAATTAGCCAGCTGTGTAGATTAATTAAGGTAAAGGTAAAGGTTTCCCCTTGACATTAAGGTCCAGTCATGCCTGACTCTAGAGGGCAGTGCTCATCTCCGTTTCCTAGCCAAGGGAGCCAATGTTTGTCCACAGACAGTCTCCATGGCCATGTGGCTGGCATGACTAAACACCAAAGTGCACGGAACGCTGTTACCTTCCCACAGAAGTGGTACCTTTTTTTCTACTTGCATTTGCATGCTTTCAAACTGAAGGTTGGCAGGAGCTGGGACAGGGCAACAGGAACTCACCCCATTGTGCAGATTTGAACCGGTGACCTTTTGATTAACCAGCCCAATAGCCACAGCAGTTTAAACCACTGCGCCTCCTGCATCCCGAGCCTGCTCTTTGTTGCAGGCAATGGCATTTCTTCACAGTGTTTCTCTTGCCTATTCATACCAAACGGATTCCTTGAGCTTCAGCTGTCTCCCTGGATGACTCCCTTGGACCCCTCTGCCTGACTTGGATGCTTAGCACAATGAATTCTGTGGCCTGAGTGGACCGATTTCTCCTTCGAAGATACTGTCACCTGGATTTGGCACTGCTGGACATGGAAGCAAGAAGCCTTTGATTCTGGGCATAGTTTTCTAGTTAGACTGTAGCTGGGGAGACATTCTGTCAAGTGCTATGCCCCAAACCCTGTAGGTCTTTATAGATCCTAGACCAGGACCTTGAGTCAGATTCAGAAGCCAGTATATGTTGATACATTTATTTAGAGGTGTTTCTGCCCCATTTCTGCATTGATCTTAGAATGTTTTAATTAAAAATACACATGTCCATGTAATGTTTTGTTATATGAGCATTTTTGTATGTTCTAAACAGTGTGTTTGTGGGCTATTTTTGGATCTGGGGGATTGTTCTTTGTTTATTCATTCATTTTTAGCTAAGGATTGCATTGCAAAACTATGTAAACTGACAGATAGTTGTGCATATTAGTCCAGGAAGTGCAAATCAAGTTGTTTTGCTTTAAATTGTGGACTGAAAAAATCCTCAAGCAACATTAATTGAAATATTTTGAAGCAATATTTCTATGGTGGGATGGAATCATGCATTGACGAATAAGATACAATCATGTCCTAGTATTTTCTGTTTCCTACAACGGTTTCTTTTCAGGGGGGTCCTTATTGTTGCATGAACTTGAAATATTCTCTTCCCGTTTCCTTTCAGTTGGTCCTCATATAGGCCGATACTGCGGGCAAAACACACCAGGCCGTGTCCGCTCTTCCACTGGTATTCTTTCCATGGTTTTCTACACTGACAGTGCAATAGCAAAAGAAGGATTCTCTGCAAACTACACTGTGTTGCAGAACGGTGTTTCAGAAGGTCAGTGTTTATCTGCCCTACAGAGCTTTACATCAAATATTCTCCATCAAGTCTTCTCAATCCGCTGGTTGCTATATTAAATATTTAAAGAAAACTTGGATAAATAAGGATGGTGTGTGCGTGTGCATGTGTGTTTCTAAAGCAGGCCCTAATCCTAATGCTGTTAGTATGTCTGATTACCAATAACAAAACACATTTTAGCTCAGGTTGGTTCCACTAAAATGCATGACATTGTGGAATAATGTTCTCATTCCAGTGTAAATTGAGAACAGTAGATCTAAGCAATAAAATCCAAATGAAGAGCTAAGCTATCTAATCCCTTGATAAAAGACAGCAATTTATTATATACAGCCTCTCCTCTAAGTATACTGCAGCCTCACCCCCTAATATTCCTATAAGCAAAACTTCCTCATTGTCAGGATCAGGGCCTGAGCGACCCTGCAAGTGCCTGCAGAACCAGGGAGCCATTGAAGAGCAATTATGCAGTGCAGCTGGAGGCCCTGACAACCAGCATGAAAGGCTCTCTGGCACTGCTGTTCTTTGCTACAGCAATTCAGGTAGTCTTCAGGACTCCCTTGTACTCTGGCTGCTGCATCTCCATGCAGTGAACCTCATTCCTGCCTTGCTCTAGCCCTGCTCCAATTGCTCCTGCCTTATTCCAGTCTGCTCCTGCTTGCTCTGGTTAGTCCCTGCCTTTTCCCAGTCTGTTCCTGCCTTGCTCCTGTCTGATCCTACATACCTTAGCCCACCTTTGCCCTGATCCTGTGTCTTCTTGCTTTCTGCAAGTTGTTCTTGCCCTGCTCCAGCCTGCCCTTGTCTGGACCACACTTACATGACTGTTTCCCTGGCATCAGACCACTGGACTGTTTCTGGGCCGTGCTCTCTCTCTCATCTGTATAATATTGGGCTGCCTGCTGCCTTGGCCCTGACCCTGGACTGCTGACCTCACCACCAGACTCTAGCCCTACCAAGCTGCAGGACCTGGTCTCGCACCAGCACCCTGGTCCCAGCATTCTGCCTGTCCCATCCACCACCCACATCCTGGCCCTTACACTCAACCTCTCCTCCTTTGCCCCCGCAGGCCTGCATGCAGCCCATATCTGTTCCACAAGGTTGCCCCAACCCTATGGTGAAGATCTGAAAAATACAGGAGGGGAACTCTGTGTCATTGTCTAGGGAACATCTTATCCTGAACAGGAAGTGTTAGAGCCAATGGCCAACCTGGCAAGGGGAGGTATCTAGGATTCCTGTCTGGGGCCGTAAGTGAGGGTGTTCAAGGATAGGCTGGACATGCACATGGTAGGCATGTCATGAGCGGAGTGGGCTGGAGCTGGGGGTCAGACTAGATGGTCTGGGAGGCCCCTTCTGCCTCACTCTGTTTCTGTGTATGTCCTTCAGTTGATACCCTGTGGGGTCTCTTAACATTATTGCCAGGGGCCTCCATTCTTCCTGCATGGAAGAATTGCAGCAGCATGTATTACCTGACCTACAGAACATCTCTGATCAAAGTAATATCACTTACTTGCAGAAAATTCAGGCACAGCAAATACTGTAATTCAGTGTTTTTCAAATGGAAATTCCTCAGTATAAAGAAGCCTGACTTATTTCTGAAAGCCTCTTAATAACCAGTTGTAATGTTTCCATCTGACTCAATTGTTTCTCACAAAGGGAAAATGCTGATTGACCAAATCTCATTTGGTTGTTTAGTTTTTTAACCTTCAAATAGAATTAAAATTGTAGGGGATACAAGGTTAATCATACCTCTGTCACATCACTGTTACTTTCTGATTTTAAAAACATCTATACTTAACATTTATTGCTACACTTAGATTTAGCACTATTTTTGGTCTGAATTGAATACTTGTCATAGAAACTTACCTGTGTTATCTCCCAGGTAGAAGATAGGTGTGTGTGAAGACTACTCTGACAGCTTTAAAAGCTGGAAATTAGAAGTAAAACAGAGTAAATGCAGCTTTCTGCAGGTTTTCCAGTGATATTCAGAGAGGGCAATCAAATTTAGTATGCTTTCAGGTGTTAGGATTGGATGGAGGTGCTCCTTTGTCAGACCACCCACTGCAAGAAGGTTCTTCCTATCTAAGCATCCCAGTTCTACTTGTAGAAGGGCACTGCCAGTGATGTTCCAGCCAGCAGTAACCATTAAAAGACCCACAACCGGGCATTTTGTGGTGGAATGTACCTCCCAGAAAGCCAGCACAATGTAGTTGTGTTGCAGGGAGGCCAGGTTCAGAACCAAGCTTAATGATCAAGCTTGCTGGATGACCTCAGGGTGGGATGTATGAATTTTGTTACAGCCATTCCATCTGTATTTTGTGAATTGTTGGGTTTCATTCATTTCATTTTCTCTTTGATAGAATCAAAGAGAATTCTATCAAGTATAGAATTTTGATAGAACCACTATGTATTTTTTAACTTGCACTAATTTGCATTAGCACAAGTATATATTGGTGCTAATGCATGCATATTAATGATTTAGTGCAAATGCTATCACTCCCCCCAGTGACAAAAATATCCCACAGGTCCACAGAATCTATATGACTTGGACAGAGTCTGTCCACTGCTGAATAAGTAGCCCATATGCACAGAAATGTAAACCCATTTGAAACCATGGCGGATTTCTCCATCAACCTCACATCGGCAAATCATTACCCTGGAATATAACCTGACGCTGCCATACCTTAGACACAACATAAGAAGGTGAAACTCACTGGAGGAGACAATCAAGCCAGGGAAGTCGAAGGCAGAATGAGAAAAGGAAGACCAAATAAGAGATGGGGTGACCCCATAAAGGAAGCCACAGCCTTGCATTCAGAAGCAGGGGTGGCATTTTGGACGGCTTACATTCATAAAGCCACCATAAGGTGGAGATGACCTGAGGGCACATAACAACAGCAACACTGTTGTTTTGTGAAGATTGCATGGGGGAGTGGCATGCGAAGACTTCCTGGAATATCTTGAAAGAGTAGTGGAACAAAACCAAATATATAAATCAGTGGGCCATTTCATTCAATATCTTTGGCCTTATGGTGTACTAAAAAGACCAACACAACAACATTGTATAATGTCAGAATGGTCTTCCATAAAGATGTCCTAAGGAATGTGACAGTGTCCAAATGTAGGTCCACTATGTATTTTTATTTATGCATTTGTTTCCAGTATTTTTATCCCAACATCCTGTAAGCATGTAATCAAAGTCACTATAAACATAATCAAGACAGGCATTTCCTGCATCTCATTATTCTGACACTGGAAAAACATGTGTGATGTACTATGGTTACTTGCCTCCAAAAAGTAATCTCACAGCTAACCCAAAACTGACAGTAGATGAGCTTTTTCAAGCTCGGTGTGGTCCATTTGATCCAGCCACATTACAGCCTCTGCTTCTCGTCGTAGTTGTCCTGAGTTTAGGGACATTCATATTTCTCTCAACATTTTTATTTTCAGATTTCCAGTGTGCTGAACCACTAGGCATGGAATCCGGAGAAATCCATTCTGACCAAATCAGTGCCTCTTCCCAGTATAGCACTAACTGGTCTTCTGAAAGGTCCCGATTAAATTACCCTGAAAATGGGTGGACACCTGGAGAAGATTCCAGCAGAGAATGGATACAGGTACAAAGGCAGGCAAATAATTTTAGTAAAAATTACAAATGCCTTCTGGGATTTCAAAGAACACAACCTGGGGCAAAATATTTATAAGATGAAGAAATCTAGCAAGGTATAAACTAAAACGTATTTCTGTGTGATATGGAAAGCCCTTTGCCTGAATATTTTAAGATGTTCTTCCAGCTGTGTAGTGGCAGGGGTAGCAGGGAAGGAAAAGTTAAGATTCATTCTTTTGCTTCCTGTCATTACTCGCCAGTCTTCTGGGAACAAATAACAGCGATTCTGCTTTAGTGGGAAAAGTCAATATTAATTTAACTGGCACTTAAAGTGAGACGTCTGCAAAACAGACTGTGCAAGAGACTCAAGAGCTATTGGGTGCCACATGTGGGGGACTGAGAATTTCACTTCTGAAGTCCTGTGTCTTACACATGATTAAACCAAAGTTAAGATAAGTGTATTGCCTTTTGTACTACCAAACATTATACCTAAAGGTAGAACATTGGCACAATGTGCAGCCAGGGAACATAAGAAGGCAGAAATTGCAGCTGCCTTTGTAACTAAGTGAACATTTAAAAATGAATTCCGAAAGGGAGGGTTGCAAGAGGGATTTATTGTCCATCAGCCTTACCCAACCTTGTGCCTTCCGGACATGTTTGGATTGCAACACCCAGAATTCCCAGTCAATGGCCCTTCTGGATGGGAATTCTGGGAATTGCAGCCCATATGCCTCTGAAGGCCACCTGGTTGGGGAATGTTGGTCAGCATAATATTTTGTATGTTCTTTTTGGATAAATCAAAGTGCATTCAACATAGATTTACCCTCATACATAAGATTCTGACTAATATCTGAGATGGAAAGCACATTTGGGTGTTGTACATGTTCGTGGCTTAGTGTGTGAATTTTCTGAGCAATTCAGAGGGCAAATGCTGTGTATGGTGGGCTTTTCTGCATGAGGCATTTATTATGTGCTCATGATCCCAGAATTTGGTGGGTCCTTTCCATGGCATTTTTGAGGCTTTTTTAATGTGGGGAAGATCAGCATTTTTCTGGATGCCGCAGTTACTCAATTCAGAAGGTAAGTGTAAATTTGCAGTTCTGCTTATGCTGCAAGTTCTACTTTGCATTGTGTAATAGAAGAAATAATAGCATACAGAAAGGCAGAGGGGAAAACCACAGAAAATAAGCCTTGTATGAATGATAACCTAACCCTCCTGCAAAGAAATTAGAAGAAGACGCCTTGGTTAAACACATCACACAGAGAGGCTCCAAGTCAGAAACTCTTTCTGAATGTCCTTTTAAGCTTTCCTGAATGTGTGCTTGCATTTGTTATGCACTTACGATCTGTAATTCCAAGAAGAACATTAGAAAGAAACATAAGTTTCCCCACAAAAGGTGAATTAGTGATTAGTGGTCTACAGTAGGAGAGGGAAGAAAATCATTCACAAGAACGAGCACCTCCTAACTCATTTTCACAACTACTATGCAGACTTTTCAGTAGCACAGTTTCGCACCCGATAATTTTTGCTCATGTGATTATGCACTTGAATCATTTTCTTGCTTGTGGGACTGGTGTGTTCAACTACAAAAGCGAGTCTGCAGTTCATTATCATTTGTGACCTATTTAAGGTGATCCATGTGAATTATGATAGAGTTGAACAAAATGAGTACTGCTGGATTGTTGGAACTTCTTAAAAAAGTGTTTGATAAGAATTCAAAGCCTTCATTATAATAAATATCAGAACATTTTTCCCTGTGCTGTTTAATTAGAATCTTCACTTTCCTCTTTAATTTTGATCTAAATGCTGTTGATGACAGCAGGAGCCAAGAGAGAAATGTTCGCATTTGTTAGATTAATAATGCAGCACTGAAAGCTTCCAGTAGTTTAAATAACTGGGACATTTTGTGCTTTTATTGTTTTCCATAGGAAATATCTAACTGACATATAAGAATAATGCATCATTAGCCATCAATAAGAGTGTTCACATCAGTGTTTCCTCTGAGGTTTGCTGTCTGCAAGAAAGCTTAAAAACATGTTGAGTGGTAATCAGCAAGGGGAAGAAAGTCAGGGGAAATCTTTCATTCCTACTCTTTTGGCACACAATGGGACTCTCAGGTGTCCAGCTTGTGAAGCCTCAGTATATCCCGAGGTGATGAAAACCAGTTAATTGTAAATGATAAATGTAATTGTATTTCAGTGTGGCAACAGAAATTGGTTGATTCTGAGTTCTGTGGAAACTCAGCAAACTTGGGCTATAAATCAAAAGATGCTGGCATTAATTACTGCCACTTATCATCACAGAAGGGTAGCAAACATCAAAACTGCATTCTGGATTTTTTTGTCTCCCCACATTTTCATATAGACTGCAATGCAGACTCATTTAAAAGCTAAACAAATATGTACATTGTAGGATTTCCTATATTCATTAGGTCAGGAGTAGAGGACAAGCAGATTTGTTCCTGTGATGGCACCCTTCCATTCATAAACCTCTTGCTTTTCCCCACTGCTGTTTCCATCTTTCTCTTACCGTAAAGAACTATTTTAAAAAGATGGAAATACCGCTAAATGCTATTTGATAGGTAGCACCAGGCGCCCTCAATGTAGAAGCAGCAGAAAATTGTCCACATAAAGAAAAGACAAAACTAAGTTGGAACAGGAACAAGGCCAACTCTACTATTAGCTGGAGTGAGGCAGCTGCATTAGATGTTGACCATCATAAAAGGACATCAAATCATTGGTTGTTTGGTTGTCACAGTATGTGTTAAAGGGAGGTGGAAAGGTTGGATATTCTACCTTATCTAATTAGCTTGGCCTGGGCATCTTATCTTGGGCAGGATATCAGTGGCTACTAGCCTAGTGGACTACATGCTGTCTCCTTCACCAGAGGTGGCCTGCCTGCGTACACCAGTTGCTGGGGAGCTGGGCAGGAGGAGGTCTTGCACCCATCTTGCTTGAGGGATCCTGGAGGCAGGTGTTTGCCACCATGTGTACAGAGTGCTGGACTGGATGGACCTTTGGTCTGATCCAGCATGGCTTTTCTATGTTCTTCTTTACATTTGGTGTTCAATCGCAGGCAGCCATCAATAGAGATTTGGAAGTAGAATTTGGTAAACTGTCAAGTGGACAGTTTGAATAGGAAACCAAACAAGGGAAGAGTTGGAATCTGAAATCAAGAGGCATTCTGGAAGATCAAGAAGGGTAATTTTTGATTTTCTTTTTGGGAAAGTATTTTGGAAAAACAATTACACTTAAATCAGACAGAACTTGTGTACAATTTGAACCTGCATACAGAATAAAATACAGCAGAAAACACTAATGGCATGGAGGTTCACTAGTAGTCTTCTGGTTGAAGAAGCAGTTAATTATAGATATTGGGCAAGAGGAACAGATGGGCATCAGATTGAAATCCTAGCACACGAAGATGGAGTGTTCCAAATCATTTAATGGCACTGTCAAGGGAAAACAGATCTCTGTCCAAACAGCTGAAGAAGTTCATCAAATTGAAGGGGGAAATTTTCTTATTTCCTTATAGATCCCCAGCCCAGCAACCTTCAAGGCATCAAAGTAATTCACATCTAGTGAATAATAAAAACTTCCATTCACTTTGAATTGCAAAAACAATCAAGAGAGGATAGCACTACAAATACATCAACTATTATTGGAAGACAACTAGCAAAGAGTGCTTTATATTTTACCTGTTTAGAAGTCACTAAGATTAGAATATGCTTCTCATTTCATTCCACTTTGCATGCAGTAGAGGCCTCCATGTGGGTAAAAGATGTCCTGCCTGTTGAGGATGTGCATCCAAGAATGATTGTGCAGGGATCCCATCAACATCTAGTATTGAGATCCGTAGCTGCATTTGTGCAAGCATCGTTCTGCATCTTTCCCCTTATAGAAAAGGCTTCATGCATCCCCAGGTCCTGTCAAAACCAGCTTGTGCTACCTGGTGGTAGCAGCAGTGGTGTAGCAGCTCATGGCTATGTTCAGTGCTATGCAACTCAACAAGGTGCAAGTCCCACTGAGTTTAATGGTCATACTGCCTTGAAAGTGGGCATAGGAGTGCAAGTTCTTCTTGGTACTAATACTAATTGATGTTATTATCAAGAGGGCTGGCGATGGCTTTGGTAACACTATGTACAGAAAGCACAAAATATAAGTCTCTGGTGGCTATTTTCAAGTATATGCTGGTTAGCCAGAAGCATATGTCTGGATATGCTTATTATAGGTTGTCCTTATGACAGAGCATTGGCAAAAGAGATGGGTATGGTACAATGAAAGTGCAATCCTGTTACTTTCTTGGGAGGAAGCACCACTGTGTTCTTTGAGGCTTACACCCCAGTAAATGTGCTTAGTATTGCCAGCATGCTGTGAGGAAAACAGGGCTTTCTGTCCTATCATGATTCCTCTGTCTGTATGTGCTGTCCATGCAATGTATGCATCTGAATCCAGTTTGATAAAAGGCATATGATGGAGTTACCAGATTTTGGTTTTAAGAAAAGTTGTTTCTATTATGGTCCAAAACAATAGGTTAGTAACTGATCCATTAATTGCTTGGTTTTATTTTTAATCCACCCAATAACAAATATTTGCTTGGAGGATTACAAATAATTATCAGAATAAAATATGATACAATGGAAAACCAGAAACAAGGTGGGATAAATACTGTTTCTTTTACAAACAAAAGTAATACACAGCCATGTTGGTACATGAGGGGAAAATTCCAGGGGCCATTGTCATTATGAACAAAATCCATAATGGATTTACAGGTTTTGAAAATCCTTCAAAAGCTGATAGATTTTGTAAAATATTCTACTTGAGTTTCAATTCCTTTTCAAAGTGAAATAGCATTAATACAGCTTTTTAATTTAATCAGCCTACAGTCAGAGTACCCCTCATTAACATATCCTTTCATGGGAAAAGCAGTGTAACGTTTCCATTTTTGTATTCCAAACAACAAACATGTTAATAGGTATCAATTACCAGCAGTTCTAGCTCTGAAAACCA